CAAGTTCGCTCGTGTGTGTCATCCAAGCAACCAGCCAAAGTAGGTCAGTTTTTCCTTGTTGTTCCGGCTGATTGTCGTAACATCATTCTCTCTGTAGCTCACGAGAGCCCCCTAGCAGGGCACTTCTCTCATAGAAAGACATATATGAAGATTTCTGATCAATTTTACTGGCCAGGAATGGGAGCGGATATTAGGGCCTTTTGTAGGAGTTGTGATCGGTGTCAGCTTATGTCCGCCAAAGGTAGAGTCCGTCCTGTTCCTCTTAAACCCTTACCCATTATTACTGAACCATTTTCTCGGGTTGCCATAGATTTGGTTGGACCACTTTCACCCCCTTCCTCTGCGGGGCACAGGTATGTACTCAAGTTAATTGATTTCGCCACCGGGTTTCCAGAAGCCTTGCCCTTGAAGGAAATTGATTCTATTTCTGTGGCCGAAGCATTGCTTGTGATCTTCTCTCGCGTAGGCATACCACGGGAAATTCTGTCCGATAGGGGGACTCAGTTTACCTCTCAGTTGATGGCGGAGCTTCACAAGTTGCTGGGAGTTAAGCCTTTATTTACCACCCCTTTTCACCCTAGTGGTAATGGACGAATTGAGAGAATGCATGGGCCCCTGAAAGCGTCGCTGCGGAAATTGTGTGCCGACAAACCCAGGGAGTGGCACCGGTATCTTGTCCCCACTTTATTTGCGCTGAGAGAAATTCCTAGCGACCGGACCGGGTTCTCGGCGTTCGAGTTATTATACGGCCGAGCCGTGAGAGGCCCGCTCTCGGTGTTAAGGGATCTGTGGGAGGACACCAGTATAGAAGACGACAAGCGGACTCACTACCAGTATGTCCTTGAATTACGGGACAAACTTTGACAGTGTGCCAAGATCGCCGCGCAGAATGCTGACATTAGTAACACCAAATATAAGGCCTATTTCGACGTCAAATCACAAGATCGTCAATTTATTCCGGGGGATGAAGTGTTAGTGCTCTTGCCTGATAAGAAGAGCAAGTTGCTTGTTTCCTGGAATGGGCCTTACAAAGTCCTAGAGAAGCGGAGTAGGGTAAATTACGTCATTGACGAACCAAAGGGGTCTAAGTTATATCCTGCTAATTTATTAAAGAAATACCATCGCAGGGCCCACCTTAACTTTGCTCATGTCCTAGATAACGATTCTAAGCTAGAGTCAGTCGAGGCACTACCCTGCGAGGAGTCGGGAATAATTCCGGCACCAGACTCGGATGATCTCGGTTGCCAGCTACCGATAACACCAGATGGCATAGTAGAATCCCCTTCGACTGACGATGGGCCCGCACTTAAACCTGGATTGGAGAGGAACCAACGTGCTGACATTGAGGACTTGATTACTAACTTTGAGGATGTATTCTCAAACTTCCCGGGATGCACATCCACTGTACACCATGACATCCTCCTCACAACCACTCAGCGTGTGCAGGCCAAAGTTTATCCTGTCCCTATTCATCTCCAGAGTTATTTTGAAGAAGAGGTCGACCGTCTACTTGAGCAGGGAATCATCCAATTGTCATCGTCCCCTCACTGCTCTCCGGTGGTTATGGTGCGTAAGCAGGATGGTACTTTCAGGATGGCCATTGACTACAGGGCATTAAATGCGGTAACTGTCTTTCATGCCGAGCCCGCCTGTTCTATGGAGGAAGACTTGCACAAGTTCTCAGGGGCGAAGTACTTCTCGGAGTTGGATCTATGTAAAGCTTACTACCAGGTACCCTTAACTGAACGCGCAAAACCACTAACTGCATTTCCTACTCGTAGAGGATTGATGGAATTCTGCCGGCTTCCTTTTGGGCTGGTGACTGCTTGTGCCACGTACATCAGGCTGATGCGCCTCGTCCTTGCCGGTTTGCCTAGAGTTTCTTTTTATTTTGACAACATTTTCATATATTCCTCAGATTGGCAAGAACATCTTGGCGACGTTAAAGCTGTCTTGGAGAGGTTAAGGGAACATACTTTGACGATAAAGCCATCTAAGTGCCGCTTTGGATTTGAGTCTATTCATTATCTTGGATTCGTGCTAGATGGTCGGCATCTTCGTCCCCAACCTGAGAAAATACAAGCCCTTTGTGAGGTGTGTCCTCCTACTACTAAGAAACTCCTCCGTAGTTTTCTTGGTATGATCTCTTTTTATAAAGCTTTCATTCCCCAGGCATCTGAGTATACCGGACCCTTATCTGACCTGCTAAGGAAAGGCCACCGGGAGCCTCTTGTCTGGAACGACGACCTGCTGGCCAGATTTAATCGTCTCAAGAATTCGCTATCCACGCAGCCCATCCTCAAACTGCCTGATCAACACTTGACCTTCGTTCTTAGGACGGACGCCTCCAGTCATGGCCTAGGAGCCGTCCTCCTCCAATATGTTCAGGCATGTCCTCACCCAGTGGCCTATGCCAGTAGGAAGTTACTAGATAGGGAGAGGAGGTACTCCACCATTGAACGTGAGTGTCTAGCCATTCTGTTTGGGGTTTTGAAATTTGATTATTACCTGAGAGGAAAAGAATTTATCCTTGAGGTAGACCACAAACCCTTATTGTATTTAAATACATTCAAGGGGGCAAATGACAGATTGTTACGGTGGGCTCTAAGTCTGCAGGGGTATAGATTTCGTGTGGTCCACGTCGCCGGAAAGGACAACCTTGGGGCAGACCTTTTGAGCAGATCCACTGTGTAGCATTTGTTGTAAGATGATTATGCTTTGTGTACTAATCTTACGTTTTAATCTACCTTACAGTAGATTTTTGTTGGGGGAGCAGTGTAAGGGCGGAAACGATCCTCCGGCTGGTTACCGCTGCTAACTCGCTCGTTTGCTGGTGCAGACGACACTTGGGGTGGTTGGACGGAGGTGAGAACGGCAGCAACTATCTCCGCCACCGGCAGATTCAACCCAGCCGCCATACCGTCAGTATCTAGCTACCCTGCTGTCCGTCAAATTCTGGCTGTGATCTCATCATAGGTCCTGGACTCGTGGGCTGTGTTCCCAGACCTTCACCTATCAACTGCCAACTCTCTGGTCATCTACCACTACAGCATACCACGACCATCAGTTCAACACATTCCGTCGGTGCCCCGGTGTTCTCCTGCCTTTTCAAGACGTCGCTGAGTGTGGAGTCGAAGTGGACGTTTCGTTACCCTGAGTGTGCATCACCGTGTTCCAGAACCTTCCCCCAGGGCCACTGCCGTAGGAAATATTTGTTCGTTTGTTTCTATAATTGTTTGATTCTATAAATTGCTGACTCCCCTGTATTGTTCGATTCTATTTAATTGTTTGAATCCATTAATTGCTGACTCCCATTATTTGTTTGATTCCTTTAAGTGTTTGCTTCCTTTAATTGTTTGACTCCCGTAATTATTTGATGTTTGTTGAGTGGTGTCAGAGTTTTGTGTTATATTTTTATAGTAAAGAGATGCCAATCTCTAACGATTGTTTGTTATTCCTCGGAAAACCATGGTCCTTGACTTTCCTTTATTAAGATCCTGATTAGCCTGGTAAGGGATTTCTATCCCTAAGTCCCAGGCTTTTACATTCAGGAGGAAACTTAACACATCAAATAAAACCCCAGATTCAGCAAATAAATAACTACAGTATCATGGGCTAGGATATCAGATAATAGGGGTATTTGATACTAAACTATTGTACTACAAGATAAGGTATTTACAAAAAATGCTGATAGGCAAAGAAGTAAAAAAAAAATTGCACTGCTTTTCATCTTCAACCCCATTTTATAGACATTTTCCACGCATGTGTGGCTTAACTGTAATTACCTGATGACAAGGGTATACCAGTTTTCATGAGACATACAGGTACGCCTCGACTTACGACCTACTCGACTTATGACCATGCAACCGCCGCAGTCGTATAAAATATTTTTCAAATTACGTATTTTCGAGTCCAGACGTTAGTGATCGAACTATGTACTGACAAAATTTTCGTTTGTAATTCCCTTTAAAGTGGCTGGCAAGTGTAAAAGTGAGAGTTCTCGTGGTGCTGAGAAGAAAAAGACACCCATTTTAGATTTTCTAGGAATTATTTTCGCATTTTCGACCTGTCGTCGGCCCCTAACCCCGTCGTAAGTCGAGGACTGACTGTATTTTAAACATAAATTCAATTTGAAAGAGCTATTCTATAACCTTCAAATCAAATATCAGCATTCTCACTGTATTTAGAAAAAATACTGGCAACATTCCTTCCTATTCATTAACCCATAACAGACAAGTGCTGTCAAAAGACTGAAGCTCACCTTCTGGTGTACTTGCACTTTGTACAAGCAGGCTAAAAATTATACCGGGGTACTTGTCACTATGTCTGGAGAAAATAAACCACTTACAGGTATTTACCGATTTAAGATCATCCGTTTTACGATAATCCACGTTAACATTAATTAGGTTTTAACACTCTCTCACTATATACGTTAGGAAAAATCCACACTAAAAATAGTTATCATTAGGTTAACTCACTGACGCGGAATGTAAACACTGGGGAAGCGCATCTTTCCCTTCACTTATTAAATCCAAATTGGCCAATATGCTCTAATTACTTTCCCATATATCATGCAGCTCCACTTACCTGCATCCCATCTCATGGCCACCATGCTAACTACTGTACAGTTCAGAGCTTTGTTTCAACATGATCGCATCTGGCCTCACTCGTGTAACGAAAGATATCATTAATAATCGTTGCATAACCTTGTGATTGCTGTGATACTTTGCCATTATTGGTGATTGGAAAACATTATTGTTAAAATTTTGCTGACCGAGGTGATCAGTGTAATGTAACTGTTTCTTTGAAAACATCATTGTTCCATCAACAAGAGTTCCCTAGCCTTGGAGGGGACATGTGATGATGACCAAGCTTGTTATTATTAATGTGGTCAGTGTTGTTAAATTTTTCCTGTATTTATTTAATTATTGAAGGATTATTATTTCTGGATTACATGTCTATATCGGACTGGCCAGGAATGTACCCCAGTGAAACCCATGTTAAAGGGCTCATAGTTTATGTTACGGTTTTCAGGAACACAACCCCCATCGTAAATTGGAAAATACCTATATATTAAGAAATGCTAAGTTATGTACTCTAAAAATTTGGAAAACAATTCCAATGCATTAATAACACTTAACTGAAAATCATTAGTTTATACCATGAAGCATGATAAAATATATACACAGTACTGTATATAGCTAACATTATTCAAAATATTTAGAAAGTGGTGTAGTCCATATCGCACTAGAGGTGCGTTTGTTAAATTTTTTCCGCTTAGGAAAGATTTGGGTGAGATCAGGTGTGGTGAGAAGAATAGTCGGAGGGAAGATCTCCTCAACCACAGGTCCGGAGTATACTTGGTTGATCATAGCAGCTGTGAGCTGAGATCCTGTAAAGGATTAAACAATAAATAACATGTTAGTATTTCCTTTTAATAATACTGTATACAGAATTGGTACACTGTATATTGACAGTATCACAAGTTGTCACATCTATATTTTTACCAAATTAAATATTTTGATATGACAATACAGTACAGTATTGCATTAAGTTATTAATATCCTATTTACTCAACTCCACTTGTCTATTCTTTAGATGTTAATTAGTTCCCATTAAAAGAGAAAGATTAGAGAAGAATCATTACTTGCATGACAACTTATATCGTTTTCCTTATTTTCCCTACTCTAAAATTATATATATATATATATATATATATATATATATATATATATATATATATATATATATATATATATATATATATATATATATATATATATATATATATATATATATATATATATATATATATATATATATATATATATATATATATATATATATATATATATATATATATATATATATATATATATATATATATATATATATATATTATTTTTTTTTTCCTTTTAGTTGTTCTCCATCAATATAACATTACACTGGTACTACCCAGCCATCTACATCATAAAACTTTATCCTTTTAAAAGTTTTCCCCAAATATTTGCTTAACTATTTCACGGCGGGGTTTCAGCTTAGAAAAATTGTGCTCGCTAATTTATCATTATGGCAGGATTAAAGGCAATCCCTCAAGTTTTGCCATACAGCATGGGCAATATTCTTTGTGTGAATGAGTCAGTGTACTTCATCATGTTGAAGGAGACTAACAGTATGATATGTTTATGCTGCTGCCAACTCAACCTCAGTGGAAAGGCAAGACAGTGCTAATTACCACAATTATCAGTGCATTAGAAACTTAGTTTCACTTATGTTGCTGGAAAGACATCAAACAATAGCAGATAATCCAAGATGAAAATGTAAATAAATTAATTAATCTAGAACTTGAGTCTACATCATGCAAACTTTAATTGCCATTGTTTGCACTTTCAACCTGCCTTACTATGGAACAAAAATACCGAGGGAGGTTGTACAATATAACTACTGCAATGTGTCTGATACAACAATCTATAAGTATGTAACCATTACATATTCTATTCATAAAATCCCAAACAATAGGAAAAAATTAATATCCAAATTTTAAACTTACTCATAGCCCAGGGAGGAATTTTCCTCTTAGGAGCACTGTCCTCATCAGTTGAGTCATCACTCTCAATATCATTTATATCATAATTATTAATATTTTTCTTATATTTCTTGGAGTTTGGTGTAATGTCATAACTATCTTTGTTTTTCCCAGTAGAACTTGACTGAGACGGTCCAGTAGTTTTGGAAAATGTGGTATTAAGACCATTTTCCTTGTTATCACTTAAAGTGAATGTATGATTTAGTCCAGTTTCCTTGTTATCAGCTAGTGCAATCTGTAGGAAAATTACAGTGTGAGATATATAATCATAAGATGAATAAAAGCATTACAACATAATAATCAACAAAATACAATAGAGAATGCTGACAAACTAACCTGAGCACTGAAGCTACAGGTTCATGTGGAAAGTGGACATGAAGATGTTACTAAGGAGCTAAGAAATAATAAATTTGAGAAAAGGATTAGAGGAATACTGATGGAATACAGGCATAATAACACATTAAACAGAACTGAGCAAAAGATGATGTTATCTAAAGGAAGTTCTGCATTAATTACCAATTGTTAAATAATGCAGCAAAAGGAAAATAAGTACTTTAGTTTTTACCTTTTTAACTGCTGAGCTTGTCAATTTAGCTTGTTGTAACTCAGCAATGCGCTGTGCTTCAAGCAATTTAAGGTATTCTAACTCCTTTTTCTCACGGGCGATGCGTTCTACCTCAGCAATTTTTCTACAAAAGAAAATTTTTCTGATATACTACAGTTTCTTCAATAACTAATAAAGCAGAATAAATTAATCATGACTTCACTGGTGCAATTAAAAACAAAAACATCAATGGAATTTTTTTTTTTAGATTTTTTTACGTGGCTTAATTAACCTACTGTACCTGTCATATTAAATATATACCGTATATATAGTGTACTATATGTATTTGTAGTACAAGCTTAAGTCTCTCATGGTTAAACATACAGTGGCCCCTCGGTTAACGAACTCAATCCGTTCCAGAAGGTCGTTCGTTAACCGAAACGTTCGTTAACCGAAACCATTGTTTCAATGGGTTTTTGGGTAATTGGTTCCAGCTCACCGAAAATTTCCTAAATTCAACAAAAATGGTAGAAAAGTTCACTTACTTTGAGGTGTGTATGTAGAAGGCTCCTGGATGATGATGATGATGATGGGATTTAGAATGGGGGTGGAGGAGAAGGAAGAAGAGAAGGCATTGGGGTGGAAGAGAAGTCACCCCATGGTGCCATTTCACCCATAAAATTTTAGCTCTCTGGTTTAATTCAAGATTATTTTCTTTAAATCAATGCTGCACTGCATTATATATTGTCAATATATAAAATATATTTCAAAATGACCAATAATTTGCTTGGAAACACAGAAAAAAAGCATTTAGTTGAAGAGAGTCTCAAGCAAGATGTTACCTCCAGTGAAAACAGAGAGAGACTGACGCCTGTTTGCTGTGTTAAGAGGCTGGATGCCGCGCATTAAACTAGTCACTTTACCTTCAATTTCGTTCAATAATTGTTAAAATGACTAAAAAATTGAATATTAAACTTTTAAAATTATTGAATAGTATAAACTTCTTGATATTTACAAAAATAGTAAGGAATTTAAGCCCTAGAACCGATTAATGTATTGGCGGACTGATACTAAAGCTGGTTGCCCGGTCAGTGCAAGCGAAAACATGTTGAGGTCGGTTCGTAAGAAGTTCGTTAAGCGAATTTTTTTTCGTTAACCGAATTGAAGATCCTTATGGAAGGCAGTTCGTTAATCGAAATTACGTTAACCGAGGTGTTCGTTAAACGAGGGGTCACTGTATATGGTATTATTGTTAATAATAAGAAGCATCCAATACAATATGTTGTTAAAGATTATCTAAATACAGTAGAAGTCCAAAAATCCGGACTGCTTGGGGATTGGGTCAGTCCAGATTTTCGGATTTTCCGGATTCTCAGGCAGTACTTTTAAAATTCAAATTTAAGGAGGAATAAAGAAGAGATGAACAGATACATTTTGATAGTTTATTCATTAGCAAATATAGCATGCTTCATTTATCAAAATGAGCAGTTTTAAAGAAAAAGCTGTGAATTCTAGAATTTTATTCTTTGCCTTTTTTATATCATAAATTGTAGACTTTACAATGTTGTATGTTTCCATTAGAACAGTATTGCTCACACCACGTTCTATTTTAATTAATTAAAGTTTGTCACCCAATTTCAACGTGTTCTTCTTTCTCTTCACACAACGGAGTTTATCTACTTCAGGAGCCATTATTATGGGCTCTGTAAATGGAAAGAGTAGACTCAAAATTACATACGTTGTCACAGTTTGATTGCTCGTTTTAAAGTGGCGATCGCTTGTTGTCGCTGTGCAGCTGTGGCGCTCACGCATGCGCACATACACACAAAAGCCAGCTAAAAAAAAAAAAAAAAAAGTTTGAGTTTTCGAAAAGTCCGGATTCTCGGGTGGTCCGGATTTCTGGCATCCGGATTTTTGGACTTTTACTGTATATTAATAGTTTTTTTTATTATTCTTAAGAGGAAATACTGAGTGTTTAACTTAGTGTGGATGTACGTACAACCACCTCAAAAAGCCTGTCTCTCCTTCCAAACGAATCAGAATCGAAACTAAACAAATAATTTAGCACCAGCTGTGATGAGATCATGCGCTACATCTACCACCGAGTATTGATTATAATGTCCCTTACATGAAGATGTTATACACATTCCCTCTAAAATTTTGTTCTGATTGTAATAGACCAAAAATATTGAGAGAGAGAGAGAGAGGGAGAAAATTACACTTTCTTTTTCATTGGTGTTGTTACCCTGAACCTATCTCTCTCTCTCCAGGCAAAGATGGCATGTTATTGACGTTTTCAAGGACAAAGGGCATAATTAAAATTATTCCCTTGATCATTATGACACAGAAATTTCAACATATTTTACATAGGCATCAATAATATGTTAATACCCCGGTCATTGCAAATGATGTGTCCCTAAAATTCTTTGCGAATATCAGGATAATTTCTCCCATAAGAATTAATATAATTATATAATTGGTGGAGGTGTAATGTATTAAAATAAGTATAATACCATAATACAATACAAAACAACACTGCAGAAACACATTTTATTAGCCAAGCATCTTTAGCCTGCAAAAAGGTCACATTATTATACATCCATGGTATCCCTCCCAACCCCCTGGTCGGGGATAATCATATTTTTCTTTTATGGCCCAAACACCCCAAAATGACACTTGAAAATCTGCCTCGTTTAAAGGTGCTGCGAGACATTTAAATCCAGGGCTGGTGTAGTATTCCCAAACCTCTACTCGCTTCCAGTGCTGTCACAGTACTACTGGTTTGTCTTGCAGCCACATATATACATAATGATCACACACACACACACTGTAGGAGGGAGGGAGGGAGGTAGGTAGGTAGGGAGGGAGGGAGGTAGGGAGGGAGGGAGCAATGTAGGTGGAAGGCATGTGAGAGAGGGAACAGGGTGGGATGGAGGTAGCAGTATGGGAGGGAGGGAGGGAGGGAGCTAGTGTAGGAGGGAGGAAGGGGTGTGGGTGGATGTAACTATACAGTGGGACGGACTGGTAGGGGTAGGTGAAATGGAGGGAGTACTGGACGTTCCTGGAGATGAAGAGGACACCAACCCTCTCTCCTCTACTTGCTGTTTATCAGTGTTGTTTTCCTCTTGTTCAAACACATAGTCTTAGTCACTATCATTATCATCACGTTCAATATCCCTATCAATGCATGCCTCTGTCAATCTATACTCATCTTCACCCCTACCAAATAATTTAGAGTATGTCTCAACCTGATTGAGTGACCGGTTACGTTCACATGCCATGGCTATCGAGAGACTACTGTGTAGTCCCAGGGCCTTGACTGTGAGGAGAGATGGGAGGGTGGGGCCCCCTGGGGAGAGATGGGAGGGGGGGGAACATTTACACAAACAGATTATGGTAGCTAGACTCAATTTCAAAGGTGCGGGAAAAGCAGATTTGGAAAACGTTCTAATACGTGACTGACCAGAGATAATAATATCGGTGATCACGTAATTGAACGTTAATGACCAGTTATGGGTTAAAATAAGCATAGAATGTTGATTCACCATGGGTGTAAAAAATTCACTTACTGTAAAGACACACCGACACAACTGTTGTTAATAATTACTAAACTTTGTGATTGTGTGTATAAAATGTGTGAATGAGTAGGAGGCAATACGAAAAAAATTTTGACACAGTATCGACACTACCACACAAAGCAACAGATCAAAGCAGACAGAGAGAACTCTTTCGCATGGCCTGGTGTATGAATACACAGCAAAAACAATTAACTATGCAGCCTGCTCACATAGCTTGAGCCACCAAGCACCAGAGATGACACACACCTCCAGCATGTTCCTTATTTTGCTCCTGAAAAGTTAAATATCATCATACATAGAAAACAAAACTCCATTATGAAAACACATATGGCCTCCACCCAAAAAATCCCACCAAGCACATTATATATGCAATAATGCACAGCCACACATTAATCCTTTATCATGCCTAAAATAAACCAAATTAAATGACAGTAACCAGCAGAAATATTCCATTAAATTGGAAATGAAGAGAGATGCAGGCATAATTAACGACCATTAAAGAGGAACAAAATTTACAGCATAATCAGCCGAGTCTTGGGGTCAGAAGTCCATAGCTGATAACAGCATCGTACCTGGCATCTCTGCCAAGCACTACTTCTGACAGAGGAATACAGTACGAGTGCAGCAGCTAGTTAGCTTGTGCAGTTTGAAACAAATTTACTGTAGCATATTGTAATTATTTCTTTCAATTTTCTAATTCGCTTTGCGGATAAGCAAGGTATGCTTTGCGAATACAGATACTGAACTAAGTATAGAATATGCCTGTTAAAATATAAATTGCGAATAAGTGGGGTCATGATTAACGTTTCAATTGAAAAGTGCAATAAAAGCCATTATGCTTGAGATAAGACATACAAATATTATAAAGCACATACGACCCAAATGATATCTTATTGTCCACCACCAGCAAAACTTCGCCCAGCAGCGGGGAATGTATGGAACAGCTTCACTCCCTGTTTTTACTTAAAATTTGAATTATCTCTCTAATTTTATGAATTTACACACCCTCACAGATGAGTCACAGACATGAGGGCTCGGAGCAGTATAGTCACCTCTCACTTTACACGGATTTAATTAGCATGTTCTTAAAATAACACTAGCATTAAGTTAACACCTATTTTTAAATAACACAGTTTTCAAAAGAGTCCCATTGCGCCAGGCAGCATAGTTCTACATCTCATTGCTTTCCTACTTTACAAAAAAGGAAAGAGTACCAATCACCTTAACCTCAGCCATCAACATATGGTAACTCGAAAGCTCCCACTTCTCCCTATTCACCTGCTCTGTCATCTGATTCAAATGACTAACTCACCCAGTAACCCCCACCTCTCCTCCACCACTAGTTCCTGCATGCCATCTCAGCCATCATTCAATGTTTACGTTCGCACAAATTTTCATTTAAAATCTATTTTCTTACTACTGTATTATTAGATTTGCTTCTATTATTGTATTATTATTGTTAATATATTTTTGTAAAAAAAACATACTGAAGGAAATAGATCCACAAATTAAAGTTTTTAGGGAGCGCTTCCCCTAACCCCCGCCATTTCCTTTATTTATGGGATAATTAGGGTTGATTTACACGGTCATTCTCAAGAACGTAACTACCATATAAATTGAGAGATGGCTGTACACAGCTTGTTCCAAAATGAGCAATCCTCAGTGAAGTGAGAGGTGCACCAGGCGAGCAAAACTGAGGTACTTGGATGTGCATTAATAAAAGCAACCAGTGGAGTTATGGTCTCCAGTTTGTGCAGTGGGCAATGAATAAAATGTACGGTACCATGAAACCACCAAAATGGTACCTTACCAGCTGTGTTTCCTATGGAAGAAAGTGCTTACAAGATAAGCACAAAAACTGTAATTGAAAACACACTTGCTTGACACCAGATAGGGTTATTGCACTACAATGGTATTAAATACGGTGATATTCCCCAGAAATAACTTGGTATTCAGAAATTTTCCCACACAGAGTACCTGTGGAGATCCATCAATTAAAAGGTGCCACTGTAGAAGTAGCTATCTAACATAGCAGGGCTCTCATTTGATAGACAGTCTTCATTGCAACAGAGCCTGTTATAGCCATAAATCATGTGGTGGGGAATGGGGGAAAATGAAAATTCTCCCAATAATGGACAGAGCTTGTATGGATTAGTTTGGTACAGTATTGGCAGGGTTTACTGTAATTTTATTTAATACACTTACCGTTTCCTTTCTTCCTCTTGACGACGGCGTTGCTCTGCCAGATATAATAGTTTTTCCTCCTCATTTTGCTTTTCTTCTTCCTTTAATTTCCTTGACTCCTCTTCCTGTTTCCTTCGTTCTTCTTCCTGGTTTCATAAATTAGAAATGGAGTCACAATCATTTTAAAGAAAAAATACACAGAAAGATGAAGTGTATGTAACCTGACTTTTAATATACTGTAAACCCTCGATAACTCGGAATTTTATACAACTCGGCATGGATATGTTCTCGGAATGGTTTCTTTTTTTTTACGGGGATTAGCCCACCCGGGCACAGGTCACTTGACCCACATCAGGGCCTGGGGGGGGCGAAGATATAATAATAATAATAATAATAATAATAATAATAATAATAATAATAATAATAATAATAATAATAATAATACAGGGGGTAATAATAATAATTAATTAATTAAAATTAATAAAAATTTTAATAAACAAAATAACAGTAATAATAATAAATAACCGTAAATAGTAAAAAAAAAAAAATCAAGAGTGAGAAACGACATACATTATGTATATTGTGTTGTCAACAGCAAAAATCTCGGCATATCTGGTAGCCTGTGTCACCTACCATACCTCTGTGTCACCTACCATGCCTGTGTCTCACCTACCATGCCTGTGTGTCACCTACCATACCTCTGTGTCACCTACCATGCCTGTGTGTCACCTACCATACCTCTGTGTCACCTACCATGCCTGTGTGTCACCTACCATGCCTGTGTGTCACCTACCATACCTCTGTGTCACCTACCATGCCTGTGTGTCACCTACCATGCCTGTGTGTCACCTACCATGCCTGTGTGTCACCTACCATGCCTGTGTGTCACCTACCATGCCTGTGTGTCACCTACCATACCTCTGTGTCACCTACCATGAATCTGTGTTACCTACCACACCTGTGTCACCTACCATGCCTGTGTCACCTACCATGCCTGTGTCACCTACCATGCCTGTGTCACCTACCATGCCTGTCACCTACCATGCCTGTGTCACCTACCATGCCTGTGTCACCTACCATACCTCTGTGTCACCTACCATACCTCTGTGTCACCTACAATGATGCTCCATTCTTCGCCTGCAGTGCTGGTAAGTGTTACTTTTTGTATATTTAGTAATTACCTGTACACACACACATATGGGTCGATGATTTTTGTATGAAGGGGGAAAGGCCTCGATAAGTCAGAATCTGGTATACCTCAGCAAGGCCAGAGCCCAGATGTGCTGATTTATCGAGGGTTTACTGTATAGTAAATATATACGAGAGTTTTAAATTCAACGCAACTATGAATAATTTAATTTCCAAGGTTACTGCTTAAACCTACCTGTTCTTTAATCTTCTTAACTCTAGCCTCTTCTGCACGTCTCTTAGCAAGAAGTTGCTGCTTTCTGTGCTGCTGCTGCTGTTCTCTTAGTCGCTCCTCTCTGTTCTTTCTATCTCTGTCTTGTTGTTTCTTTGCTTCTATAGCCTTACGCTCTCTTTCTTCACGAGCTTCCTGTACCCGCTTCATCCTTTCCTCGTTGCGTCTGTTATAAAATAATAATTGAATAAAATTAATGACAATTCATAAAAGATTCATTAAACCACCCAACACCTTGTTCTCCCATTATTCATGCAACAATCCATTTGACACTCAGATAAAACTTGAATTATGAATCCTAAGAACAGCTCTGACTTTCATATTTCTAGATATTTATCTCCTGACCAACCTTTTCTGCCCCTCTGCTTTCAATTTTAATAATTCTTCTTTCTTTTTTATCGTCTCATCCTCTCGATCCCTCTTCTTTTGCAGTCCTGTTTGTCGCTTCTCCTCACGTGATGGCTTTGCTGGTTGTATTTTGATGAATGATGTTATTCCAGTAACTATGT